AGATAGATAGATATACACACACACACACACACACACACGTTTTTATAACACACACATACACTATTGCATAAAATCTATCTATAGATTTTATACAGTCACGCACACACACACACACACACTTTATCATTTCTGTGTGTTCGTCTGTCCATAGAAACAAAGCATCCTTTATTTCAAACACTGAAAGCCTTCCAGTCCCCTGCAGCCCTAGTTTCACTCTGCCTCTAGCAACTCTTTCCACAAAAGGAGTTTTGTCTTTCACAGAAGCCAAGCTCTCTCATCCTCTCTTTGCACTGCTTGCCCAGATTAGTTTGATCCCAGTGTCAAGATAGTATTTTTCCCCCAGCATTTGCTATTGAAATGGAGCCTCCTCCCGATTGCTAATTGCCCTGAAATTGTGCAGTTCATGGCATGACGTATCTGTTCTGAGACAGTTTTGGACAGTGGCTAGAATGCATCTTTGCATCAGGGGCCAAACTGAGTGTTCAGAAGGGCCCTTCCCTCAGTTCTTGTCAAGGGGTGCTCCTAGGGCAGCAGATGAATGGGGTTTCCCACTGGAGTTTTCTTTTCTCAATCACCCCTTCCACAATATCACCTCTTTTAACTCCAGATGAAGGCAGCCCATAATTGGCCACCATAGTTGGCTCCATAGTCAGAAGCCAATAAAGCAGATTAGAATATTATGTGTGTACATGCACATGTGCTCACCAAAAAGATGGGAGCAAGCAGCTATCTAACAGAGACTATATTCCGGTGATTAAACTATTTAATCTAAGATGGTTAACTAATTAAATTGATTTAATTAACTGATTGGCTTAATTAATGTAGTAATCCTCATTACTCCTCTGTAGTCTAGTTAACCTGTCCTAAGTCATGCCAAAGAGGCTTACTGACCTGCCAAATCCATCACTAAGCCCATTTCACCTATGCTGTAATTCAGCCTCTGTGTTCCTGAGGCTGGAACAGATGATGGTTCGAACAATTTGATGAAGATTCAGCAGACTATTGGTTTGAGAGGAAGTGGACTCTGTGATGGATTACTGTACATGACTTCGGTCAAAATAACCAGACAGTAGGTTATATATTACATGCATGCACTCACTCAGGCATGTACACACTTCTTTCAGGGAAGGCTTCTGACTATCTTTGCCTTCTTATCCTGGATCTACAGAGGTGAAGAAAGATCCCCTTGAGTCCCTGCTACCAGCCAGGAGGTCTCAAAGGCCACTGTAAAGCTGCACCCCCTGCCTCCCAGGAACAACAGAGCAGGAGGGGCAATACGTAGCTGACGCCATCCTTCAACCAGTCAAGCTACAGCTGCTTCGGACCAGTATTTCCTACCACCTCCCCAGTCGCTTTTCATTTTGTCTTGTGTCTGTTCAATCGTGAACTTGTGAGTAATGGCAACTCTTTTCTTTTAATATCTGCTTAAAATATAGTAGATGCTTTACCATGGCCAAATAGGTAACAACACTGCTTTTATGGCCTTCCAGTGGCCTGCCCTTATAACTCTTGAGTTACAGAATTTGGCCTCTTTCCTTTTCATTTGTTTTCCAATTGCATTGTGCCACTCACCCCCATCCTGAATAAGTCCCATTGAAGGGACAGGAAAGAGAGAAAACAGAAACATTTTCGATAAAAGCAAAAGAGAAATAAAAAGTTAAAAAAAGACAAAAACATGACAGCACCTTAAAGACTAACTTTTATGATTTTTTTCAAAAATGTGAGCTTTCATTGACAAGTCCACTTCCTCAGACATAAGAGAAAAACAGAAACAATTTACCAAAATTCATTGGTACGGTAGGCATAGGAGGAACCGGTTGTGGATATCCCGCAGGTTGTGGGTAGCCTCCAGGCTGTGGGTATCCAGCCGCATAGGGCGGAGGCTGTGGGTAACCTCCAGGATACCCTCCGTGTGGTGGAGGGTAGAGAGGGTTCCGGTCATCGTAGCCTGGAGGAGCGGAGGGGTGCGACATGATATCTCAGGAAGACTCAATGCCCTGAAAAAGAAAAGAGGTAGAATATTGTTATTGTCTCCAACCCTTTCTTAGCTTAAAAAATATATATATTAACCGTACTAAAGTCCTTCTTAATATAAATTCACATGCCTTGTGTCCTGTCTGCATGTGAGTCCAAGAAGCCTCCAGGAACAACCACCAGCAAAACCCAAAAAGAAACACTATTTTGATGAGGAGAGGGATCCTGAAGGCAAGGCAAGAGAAGGTCATCTGGCCCTCTCGATGCTGTTTGACCTCCACTCTCCACCCTCCATCACCACTTACTGTGCTTGCTAAGACTGATGGGAGTTATATGGAAAGGATTGTACTTTACCTACCCTGGTTTTATCAGCTAAGTGCCTGGCCTCTCCTAACAGCACCTAGCCACCAAAAGCTATGCTACTTCATTTGGCCCTACTACCTATTGGTGAACCTTTGGCACTCTGGATGTTTTAGACTGAAACTCCCAGAATCCTCAGCCTGTATTGCCAATGGTAAAGGGCTGCGGGAAGTGCTGGATAGCTCAGTGGTTTAAGTGGGTTGGCGGTTCAATTCTCCACTTGATGACCTGTAGGGTCCCTTCCAGCTCTGCAGTTCTAAGAGCATCGAGAATCCATGCGCAGTACAAAAACATTTGGAATTTGAAATGCTCACCACCTCGACTTCGACACTAAACCCCAGTTTTGTTAGCAGGAAGATTAACTACGCCTTATTATACACCCTTAATTCCAAAATGTTGAGTTTGTGGGTCACTGGAGGGATTTTTGAACAATTTTTTGAGTTTTTAAAGGACTAAAAATTAATTGAAAGCAATATTTTATTTGTAAAAGAATATGAAACACATTGCCTTTGTACAACCAAAGAATTAATGCTACTGCTAATGGATTGAGATCTTCTCGGGAAATGCTTTACTGTCCCCCTCCACAGTTGTCAAGGTGCATATGACATCAACCCAGGCAAGTTATCTGGGCATGAGATGGAAAATGTCACAAGCATCACTCCCTGGCACTTAACTAAGCATTTGCTGCCCTTTCATGTCATCTCAAAGCCACTGTCTGGTGCAAACTTCTAGATTTCCTTAATGGCAGGGACAGCTCTGCAGATGATGCTTCCAGTGTGCAATTGTCGAGCCTCATAGACATAGGTGTACCTCGTTGGCAATATGGATCCACATAGCTCCCTATGCCACTGCATCCTGCCCCATGTATAGGCAAAAACCTAAGGCTTCTAGCTCCATGTTTGGCAAAGGGAAAATACTGTAAAGACTGCATTGGCAGCACTGCCCTCTAATGGAGCAAAAGTTCAGTTCTAGCAAAAAAAAAATAGCAGAAAGTGTTATGTAAGAGAGTCTGAGGATTTTTTCTAGGGTAGGTGGAAGAAGCATACTGGTATGTTAGCATAATCTGTGCAGGCAGTGGATGCCACTGTAGCAGTGCATCTGTCTGTATACCTTAGAATAACAAATTATTTTTGAAGAAGTGGGTTTCTTCAGAGAATAATTTTACACATAGGCTGGCAAAAGCACCTAGAAGGGTCAAGTTAGAAGGACTAAAGTAAAAGTAAACTGCTATCGAGGAAGGCCACAATCCCATCAGCCCTCTGCAGCACAGCCCATGGTAAGAAATGAGAGTTGCCATTCAACACATATCTTCAGAGTCATATATTTCTTATCTCCGGTGTACCCCAACTCTCCCCAAACCGATGCCTTCAAGACTGGCCTACATCCTCCTTCCTGCCTTCCCTTCTATTTCAAGAGCTATAATTTCTCCCAGCCAGGGCTTTGGTAGTAAAACTACCAAGCACAGAAAAAGACACAGAAACATGAGGGATGGGATGTACGAGGAAACCAACAAATACACATGGAGAGAAGAAGAGAGGGCATGGGAGCAAGAGGTTAGGGTGGAGGTGTAAATCTGACATGGCCATCAAATCATCAGTTGTGCTATTTCTCACTTTGTTCTGAATGGGTGGAGCTGGGGAGACATTACTAGGTAGTGAATTGTTTAAGGTCAGCATATAAGGAAAGTTCTTCCTTGTTTCTGAGGCTTATAAGAGAAAGGGATGATGTGGAAGAAAGCTGTTGGTGAAACTCCAGAAAGAAAGAAAAATTCAGGAAAAGCTATCAACCTTTCAGCAGAATTACACAATTAAGGTTGCAGATTTCCTGGCCTCCATGTTTGTCAAGGATTAGTCTACGCTTTATTGTCAGTTCTACCTTATGTAAATACGGAGGTTGAACTCTGGTTCCTGGAAACAGCACTATGACAACTGAGAGAACTAAAGGAAAGAGAAACTGGGAAAAGGCAAATCAGAATTACTTTTGTCTCCCATAGTCTCAGGAATAATTCAAACTATTACTTTCAACATAAGTGTACAGTATATCTTCTGTTTGTGTACATAGAAAATATGCACAACCCTACATCACATTAATTTCCTGGCTGGTTAGAAGAACCTAGAAATAACATCCAAGTGAGAACCAAAAAAAAATATCACTGTGTCTCCAAAGGAGTGTTTCAAATCCTTCAAACATATGGCCAAACCCTACCTGAATTGAGGAGGGAGAGGCAGCGAAAAAAGAAAGAAAAAAAGGGGGAGGGGAACATTTTTAAAATTACTAAACAAGTAAAGTAAAACTTTTTATTGGACAGTCTGGACAGTTTTGCCTGGGACTGAAGCCAACTGAAAGGGAAAAAAGAGATAATCTTGAACCAATAAAGGTTTGTAAGGATACTGAAAAATGCTACTTTAAGCAGTGCAAAAAAGAGGGAAGGAAGGACTCAGAGACCGAGGAACACACATTTCAGACAGTGATTTTAGCTGTCACAAAAGACAAAAAATTGTTAATTATTTAAATTTATAATTGTTCCATTTTTAATGACAGGGAGTGGAAAGGAATTCCTTGTGTGATTTTCGGCTGTGGGACCCAAAATAATGTGGTTGGCTTAGGGTGCTGATTCACTGCAAGCTGTAGGGAGTCTGGGGTTGGAGGTGCTTGCTGCTTGGCATCACACACTAAATTGTCTTTGACAAGTTCAAGGGCTAGAGTAAGCCCATCACATCAGTATTAAAAGGTAAAAGGCAATTTGGAACCCCTGTGATGGATATAAGATGAGAAATTTTCCTATAGGCAATGTATTTTCTTTCAGAAGGTTGTTCCTTGTTCTGCAATATTACTGCATTGACTTGCCTGCCTAAATTCATATTGAAGAATATAAGTGTTGCGGTCATTACAGTGAAGGAAACCTCCATTCTTAAGCATGGGTCAAGATGCTTATGAGAATACACAGAGATAAAACATACAGCTTGCAGCATGTGTTAGGAATGCATCTTCCAGAGTTTACAGCAGGCGTTGTGTGCCCAAGTAAGGGAACAACTAGATGGGAATTGTTGCAGATGGACCCAAAGCATTCTATACTTTACTCTGGCAAGGATGTACTAGCTGCAATCTTTGTTGTCATTCACATGAAGATGCATTACAAGCATCTACTGTACATAGGAGAGGGTCAAACTAGGTACATTTCTCCCATAGTACATTTCAGGCACTCCTCATTTTTGCTCACTTTATAAAGTGGTATAGAGGTGAATTCACAAGACATGGCCACTTCTGAATTACCACTGCATCACTTATCTGATGTAGCACCAAACTAAAAAATAATTATAATAAACAAAAATATTTTTAAAGAGGTGTGTTGACCCTAGGAGCTAGAGACCAAAAGAAGTAATGCTGAACCATCACACCCAGACCCACTGAAGACCAAACACTCAGTGTGCTCAGGGCATGCCCCATCATTGCCCCCAAAGACCCATATAGGCAACTGGACAAGCAAGAAAGTGAGACAAAATGATGTGAGCGGAAAAGATACCCAAAAAGTCAAATAAAATGTACTGAATATTTTATGCCAAAAAAAAGCAGATCTACTTACGATCAGGGTTTAGGTTATGTAGATGATGAAAAAGAACATTATAATTAATAGTGAGGACTCTGGTATAAATAGTCAGCCAAATGTCTGTCTAGTTGTGCCCTAAGTTTATAGATTGGCAGAATGCTCTGAAACTGCAAGTAATACAAATATATGAACACATGAATGCTTCCAGTGGAAGCAAAGAAACATTATAAACCAGCCTTCTCCAATCTGATGCCTTCCAGATATTGGTGACTACCAATCTCATCATCCCGTTATTCAGATCTTGCTGACTGGAATGACTGGAGTTGGGATCCAACATGTTGGTGGGGGGAAATCATCAAGTTGGAGAAAGCTGCTCTGAACCATTCTATTCCCATCCCAATATATTTTATGAGAAAGCAGCACAAATTGCTCATATCCAAAGGTCAAACACCCTCCGAGACCGATCACCAAAAGTGCCAGAAGGAATGGAAATGCAGGAGCAACCTGCTTAGCAGGTAACCAGGGACTGGGAAATCTCTATCTGCCAGAGAGGAGGTCTGTGTGCACAGATACTGCTGAAATTCAGAGGTGAATAATGTTCTGCTTGTTTTTGGAGCTCAGTGGTTTGGAGCTCTCATTTGTTCAAATTTACATTGGGCTTCCCAGAACATGTGTGCCGAAGAGGTTACTGTCCTGCCACCTGTGCAGCCCTGGGCAAGCTGCATAGTCCTGGACTGCTATCAAAAGGAGGGACTGGTAAATCAGTTTTAAATACAGTATACTGTATTAGAAAACGAAGGTTGCCATAAGTTAGAATTGACTTGATGGTACATCATTATAATTTGGAGTTAGAATTAGGAAAGGACATGAAGAACAGTCTAAGAGATGGAGCCAGGATATAAAGGAATGAATGATCACATGGCCAAGTCAAAGAGAGTAGAGGAAAAGCTGGTTCTTTCTCCATTGCCCAGATGCTTAACCAGCATTAAAGGAATTGCCTCAGGGTATCAAAGGGAGTGCAAGACTTCTAAGAAAAGCATGACACTAAATCAATGATACTCCATAGAACAACCTCAACAGGAAGAACAAGTCAAGATTAAAGCAGATAGAAAAATC